GGGAAATCAATAAGTTTCCGATTGGCCCCAATTCTGGGCATTCAGTGTTCTTGTTAAGACCTGCAACCAACTGTCCCTCAGGCATTCTTCCAACAAGAAACAAATTGCAACGATTATGTGTACGAATTATATCGACTGTTTCTGTAGAGCTGTTTACCATTTTCTCTTCATATTTGATTGAACTGTCATTTGATATTTTCTCCTTGAATTCGATAAGAAATTCTTCGTCCTCTGATCTGGCTTCCGGAGTATAACTGTCATTTATATCGACTCGGACAGACTCCTCAACTACTTCGGGGTCAACCATGAAACGAACAACATTTAAATGGATGCCTGGATGCTCAGCCATAAGTACACCATAGGATACAGCTTCTCGATCATCATGGCCACCGAAGAAAAATACAGTGATGGTATAGTCAACATTACTTGCTGATACATGAGATGCTCCACCAAGGCCTCGATCGACTAAAATTCCAACTGAACACGGTGCATGCTCAAGAACCCTCCGGTTCACACACCTCAAGTCAGCTCGTGTTGTCTCCAAGTGTCCATCGAGCCTTGGGTGCTTATGGAAAGGAAGGATTATCATTGCTACCCTCTGCCTTTCTGCACTCAAGCAAATGTCGATGTGCATACTAGACATCGCTGAGATAGTAGTTGTAGGTCGAATAGACACTCTACTAAGATGCTCAAACGCCTCAAAAGCAACAATAATTTGATTCGGATCAGAATCATGCCTCTTATTCCAAAATGGCATCCCGTTCTTTCGTACTTTGTGGGCCATCAATATCGCAGACGATCTCTCAGAAAGTTCCATTAGATGCATTGCATAGACACGAAGTCCTTCCCTCTTTCCAGTACCACGCGAAACCTCCATTAGATTTATCAAGGTAGGAATGTTTCTTGTACTGTGGAAACAAGTCAATAATCTCAGCTGAAAACTAGGCTCTTTCCTTTGAATAGTTCTGTGTTTATACTCTGATTTTGCCATTTGAGCCGGCTTGTATACAGCTATAACAGTAGGCGTCGTTATAAAAGTTGTGAATAAAGCCATCAAAACCATGATTGCAAATGTTTGGTCGTTCAAAACCTACATAGTCGAGAAAGAAAATTATTAAATGAGAAATGAACAAATTCAAATGCAAATATGTGGATATGGTCCGTTACGTAGTGTACAATGCCAAACATTCCGTAAAGGATTAACTTACTCCTCGATCTCTCCCAATGTTGAGAACAATGAGCTCGACTAAACCCTTAGTGTTCATAAGGAAACCGAGAGTCACAGCTTCCTTAAAAGGCACCTTGCAAAGGAGTGACACGAGAATAGTGCCAACAATCTTCCCAAAACATGCTGTAAATATGACCAAAACGAGAAGACCCCACGACTGCGCCCCTTGAATGGTTGCTACATTCGTCTTTAATCCACTTGAGACAAAATATAAAGGTAGAAAAAGGCCGGATACGAGATCTTCAACTTTTTCAACGAGGGCACCGGCAAATGGTCCCTCCTTTGGAACAAGTACTCCAAGCACAAAAGCCCCGAATAGAGCATGAATTCCAATAGAATCAGTTACAAATCCAGCAGCCAAAACAGCAACCAATGTTGCACATACATATATCTCGTTGACTGGCTCACCTTCGGGGCAATGTCGTGCCATCCATTTGAAAATTGGAGGGGCAATTAAGATGCATAAAATTATAAAACCAGAACCACAGAGAAAGACCCATAATGAAACAAGTGGCGAATGTCCTGTGCCCGATAATGCAATAGCCAGAGCAAGAAGAATCCACGCAGCCACGTCGTTGACTGCAGCAGCAGACATGGCCATTCGACCAACATCCGTTGTTAAAAGCTTGAGTTCAGCCAAAATTCGAGCCAAGACAGGAAATGCAGTAATAGAAAGGGCAACTCCCATGAAGACTAAAAATGGGCCCTGACTTACACCATCGGAAATAGTTCCACGGAGTACATATGATGTCCCAATTCCTAGAGCAAACGGAAGACTAATTCCTGCAAGGGCAATGCTTAATGCTTTTTTCCCAGTCCGTTTAAGGGATCTTGGATCGAGCTCGAGCCCAACAAGAAATAGAAAGAAGAGGAGACCGAAGTTTGCGATGGTATCCAAAACTGTTAGGCTCCTTGGCGGGAAAACAGTGTCAAGAAATTTATGGTTCCGACCTAAAGCCGATGGACCTAGTAGAACTCCTCCCTGCC